CAGCTCGGAAAACAACATGGATGCTCACAGCGACGTCATCACATCAGTGGCCGATCATGTTAATATCAATGAAGCTCGCGAGACTGGTGGGCTAATGTCAATTATTACAAACATCTCTTGTGAAAACAACATCAATATATTAAGAATGTAAATATATCACATACAATAGTAAATTAATTGTTTAATTAACAACAGAGGACGCAATGATTGTCGACTAAATTTCCACCCAAAAATTGTACCTGTTCATGTGTTCAAATCCGTAATTTCCAACTTTCCAACGTGTCATGAACGCAGCAGACCGGCCCTCCCACTTCACAACTCCATAAAGCTCGTTCAAGGATATTATTAAGGGAAAACTTTACAGGTGTAATTTGCAGTAGGGACTCAAGAGTGAATCACACACAAGGTTAACCATTTTAATATTGTCCAATCAGAAAACACAGGAAACCACAGCAGGGCAAACAGGAAGTAGGATTAAATTCTTCTGTGCAACTTCCTGTTTCTGTCACATTTTGGTCCCAAGTCGGCCTCATCATCATTATGATCATAATCATGGCGAACACCATCTTCGTCAACATCTTCAAATCCCACATTTTAAACATCAGGTTCGTGTCAGTTACAGTGTTTGTTTGTACATGGGGCAGATTTGTCGCGTGCTTTGTGTCTGTAAACCAAATTTCCCTGACAGGACAATAAAGATTCAAAATGCACTGAATGATTAGCATAATAATTATAATAATACTGATAAGCTTTTTCACATCATCAACAATTATCATTACTGACTCCACCATCATCATTAGAGCTACCGTCAGCCTCAGTCCTGATCATAATCATAATCATTTTAATTATCATAATTTTAATTATCATGACGGGCACAACAGTCTTCATCGCCACCGCTGCTGCTGTTATCTTCATCGTCGTCGTCTTCGTCACACACACACACACACACACACACACATACACACGCCCACGCACACATCACTGCACACACAGCGTATAGAAGCAGGCGGGCCCATTAATTCATATATGGCTCAGTTATTAACATCAAAGCCGGATCTTAACAGAAGAGGAGTAACTTCAAAAAAGTCTGTTCAATAGGACGGAGGTTCAACGCACTGGACTATTTCCAAAAGTTCATTATGAGTCGTTTTATTCATTTTCCAAAAATTCTTAGAAGTCTTATCTTTGGAGTTGGGCCCCCAAAATTAAATTCATACAGGTGGATATTTCCGATGCTTTTTGTGTCCAGCTCAAGGCGCCACAGTTCAGTCCAATATCAGTTAAAACTCAGAGGAGGACAGAAGATATCCACACCCTGGAAAAATCCATTGTAGCATAAAATCCGTCATGCTGTGAGACTCTTGTAGAGTCCACTATACTGTACAATCCATGCTGCTGTTGATCCACAGATTACATCACGCCATCGCTGTGTCTGTTGCGTTGTATATCCCGTCACATAGCAGAATCCGTCGCGCCGTAGACTCCGTCGTGCTGCCAAAACCCAGTGGACAGTTTTGGCTGTAAAAGTTGTCACTGTAATGTCTGTCGCACTTTAGAAACCATCAAATCCATCGCAACAAACGATATTGTCCACCGAAGAATCCGTTGCACTCAGGAGCCACCATCACGCCATAAAGTCTTTATCCGTCACACGGATAATTCACCAGACTAAAACAAATCACAATGTAAAGTCCATCGCTCTGTCCAACCTTCAATCGAGCTGTAAAAGTCCACTGATGATGAGCGTCAATCCGCCACGTCCCCACACGAACAGTCATTTAAAAAGCGACATCATCTGCGTATAGTGACACTCAACGTGTTTCTCTAAGCTGGATCGTTTCAGTTGTCTGGTCGGTCATTTCCTTACCCCAATTTTATTATCCTCCATTTTAAGTCATCTCATTTATTCTTCCATCTGGGGACAGGAGGGTTGACTGAAACTAACCACTGAGAAAAAATGTAGTGTTTGTTGTTGCGACTTTAGTTTCTATCCAGCAGCTGCAGCTGATCTGTTTTCAACCAACACCTTCTGGGTTTTGTGCTTTTTGTGAAACCACAGAGACTTGTTGAGTTTTTATTTTTTTTATTTCTTTTATTTGGTCATGGTTTTGATCTCCAAGGTTACACTCAGTCAGAAAGGTTGTCATGTCGTTTACAGTCCTCTGACTCCTCTCGGTTTCCCTGTACAGTCTCTTCTATCTGTCAGGTCCTTCTTAGTCCGTCTCAGGAGTTACTGGCAGGTTTTACGAGGTCACTAAATCAGGAGAAGCTTCACTGGCTGACAGATTTTATGTGTGTGGAGTTTGGGCAAACTATTTTAACATGTGGTGTGTCCAAAGTCGTTCTCTATTTCTGTTTAATACCATGTTTACTTTCTACCATTTGTGACTGAACTGTAACTGTGTAATATATACTTGTTAGGGTAAAAATGGTAAGAAAAAAATAATGCCCAGAGCATTTACGTTACTTTTTTTATACTAAAATCCTTCTGTTGACACTTGTGCACATTAGTGATGCGAAATGGTGAGTGTAATCTTTATTTACAACTAAAGTTATGACTAAAAAAAGAGAAGCGAACACGTGAACAAAGGAGTGGTTGCTGACACTGTTAAGTTTGACATTTGAAATTAAGGAAGAGCAAAGCTTAATGCCCTGGATCATGTGACCTGTGTGTTTGTAATTTATGGGAATATTATTTCTGTTTTGTTTCTCTTATTAGAAAAAGGTAACGAAGAAGAAAATACCAGTTAGAAGAAATAAGGAAGACATTTGGCAAGAAGCATCTTATTCTTGTTCTGATTAAGTTTTCTGTGTTGTAAAAATCGACAATTTTGGATTATCTTTCTTTTAATTTATTTGGTAGATTTTATCTGTGGCTGTTTTGTGTTTGTTCTGACTGCGATGCACTTTGTACACTTGCTTTCAAAAGTGATTTTTTATTTTGTATTTCAATAATTATTTGGTTGTTCCACTTAATATGAGGTAAGAACATTAAACGTACATCTAGTGTAAAGGTCTGTGTCCATGTGTAGTGTGATTATAGATCAGCTCTAGCTTCTATATTAATACTGTGAAAGTATCAAAGCCTCAGTCCACAGAGAAATGCACACAGCCTGTATTCAGAAACTGAGCCTTAAAACCAGCCGTCAGGACTTCTGGAACTTTGTGATGTCACAACAAAGCAGTCACCAAGCCCCGCCCACCTGGACCCACCATCCAAACCTTGCAGGATTTGGTTTCTCTGAGTGATTTTACCTGAAATCTGTTATTTTTTATTGGATCACTCAGAAAACAGTCAGCCAATCAGAAGAGAGGAGAGCCTCCTCTCTTCTGAGCAGCTGACTGAAGGGACTATGGGACCTTTACGTTTATAGATTGCACAGGAGACACAGTTCAATACTTTTCATGAGAGACTATAAAATAAAAATTGGATCTTTTGTTCAATTTACGAAAGGATTTTTTGTAAAAGCTGACAAACGTTTCATTTTCAGGTTTATTGATCTAACTTCAAACAAATTATTAAGTCTTGTCAGATTCTGTCTCCATTACACTTTTCCTAAATCCCATCATGCCTTTTATGTGAGAACACTGTTTTTGTCTCGTTAGTTTGTTTTCACTTTTAAACATTTTTCTGCTTGTTAAAAAAAAGACCATAACATCACTGCTCTTCAGAGCAAAAAGATTCTTCCACATGTGGCGTTCTCTGTGGTCTGGAGCTAAAATTTTGAAGTTATCATGAGCTTTTATATTGAAAGTACATTTCTGAAGCTGAGCGCCAACAAAAGCCTCTGAAAACCGGCTGATATTTTCCCAAACTGCTGGAGTTCTTGATCATGAAAAAACATAACGCTGCTCTTTAGATTCAAGCTGAAGCAGTTTGAACGCTGCGGAGAGTTAATGAGTCTGAATGAGTCCCCTGAGAGCTGTGATCAGAGGACAACGAGTCCATGTAGTGTTAATTACAGCTCAATGATCGACATCCAGCTCACTGCTGGGAAACGTGCCTTTTACTGTCAGCTGGTTCAATGCAGCTAACGCAGCAACGTCTGGTTTACACTTTCATGGGTCTCTGGTTAGTGAGAGATTTGGATTTGAACCGAGAGGGGCTGAAAACACTTTGGTTATCCAGTCAAAATACAGAACATTACAGAGATGAATGTGTCTTCACTGTTCCTTTAAGAGTGATACGCTCTGGGTTCTGCCCTGGTCGGGTTCTCATTTTCAGACCTTTAGCTCAGACATGAGAGGCTGTCAGGCAGACAGCAGGACAGCGAACTCACCGCCTTGCTCAAGGGTGTTTTGGCTAATTGCACAGCTGCTAATGTGATTAGAAGCTTTGGCCTTTAACATCTGTGTCATACTGTTGTTTTGTTTTGTCTTTAGAGTTTTATAATACACCGTGTGTCAGCAGGGAGAGTTTGAAGTGCGCAGTAAACTCCATAAAAACAGATTTGACCATATACAGAAGTCAAAAAGCAACGTTAGCAACCACCACCTACTCCTGTAATGGTTGATTTAGCCAATTTTCAAGAATTTTCACATCATAATTATAAGATATTGACGACATTTGGAATAATATATCAAGTATTTAAATGTTTAATGTTAAAAGTTTGAAAAGTTCGTCTGTTTTGATTTAAATTCATGTCTTTTCTCTGTAGCTAGTTTTGAAGCTAGCTGCTAGTTAGCAGACTGAAGCTAGTGACTTAAAGGCTAGCTCTCAGCTTTATTCGTTTAAATGTGTCTTTACTTTTTCACAGCACAGAAACCAGTTTAACCACATCAGCCACTTGTTGAAGAGGTAAAATAATCCATCTGAAATTAAAAAAGTTTAAAAACAAAACCAGTAGAGAAACCAGCTGAATAACCAGTCAGGTCGGTCTTTCTCTTCTCATCCAGTCATTTGTTTCAATCTATCTGACTGCATCTGTAAGCTAGCAGTGCATTAGCGTGAGCTTAGCAGTCAGTGTGCAGTCGCTTCGCTCGAGCTAGCTGGCGTAGCGTTAGCCGAGGGCGGGGCCCGGAGGTTTGCGCAGCCACTGGTAAAACTGGCGCCGGTGGAGGCGGTGCCAGCGCACGTTGCCCTCGACGATCTCCAGTGCCCGTGGCAGAGCAGGCCCCGCCCCCACACCGCCGGACTGGATGAACTCCTTTAACTGAGATAAGAAAGGACAAGAAAGAGGGAAAGATAAGGAAGGAAGGAAAGAAGGAAGGAAGGAAGGATGGAAAAGGAGATGACAGATAAAGTAATTAGAATATGAGAGTTTTGAAAGAAAGAGAAATAATTTCTGCCCCTCAATGCAAAAGAGTTCATCACAACATGCTGGTGATTGACGTCAAAGCCAGCAGTTGTTGAGATACATGCACTACATGGCCAAAAGTATGTGGACAGTTGTATTATACCCACTGACATTATAACAGCCTCTGCTCTTCTGGTTTCAGACCTTCCACCAGATGTTGAATCTGATCCTGGTGATCAGACCTGGCTCACAGTCTGGGGATAAGCTGACTGGGGATAAGTGACTTAATTGTATTATTTTTATATTTTATATCTCATGTGTAGAGCTTGGTCACACGGTATCCAAGGTAACGATGCAGCTATATAAAGGAACAAGTCGAACGAGGCCTGTTTCCCTCACATCCTGAAGTGCTTTATAACAAAAGTCGATGAAATGCAAATGTTCATCCATTGATTTTTACATCTGTCAGCACCTGTTAGAAATTGATGCAACGATTAGGCGTCCACATACTTTTGGCCACATAGTGTATCTTATTTCAGCCCCAAACCCTCAGGCAGTCATCAGGTTAAAAACCACAGGATTCTTCATGTTTAAGTAAAAGAAGAATTTCCCTTTTAATGACAGTTGAACAGAAACATCACGGCAATAAACGAGTCATTAAAGCTAAACTGTCTTTTAAAGGGTTGATAACTAAAGAGAAACTTGTTTTAAAGGTTCGTAATTAGAGGTAAACTTGTCAGCATGAAAGACGACATATCAAAGTGAAACTTTGCTTTAAAGGAAGGTAATTAAATGGAAAGTTTCCAGCGTGAGAGGTGAGGTATTAAACTTAAAGAGACTTTCTTTTGTCGATAGAGAAACTTTGTTGAAGGAAGAAGAGAATTAATTTATTTTTTTTCAAAGTTAAAGACTGAAGAGGAAACTTAGTGTTGTTCAGAGTTTGACAGATTCAGCGAAGCGCGGGAGGAAATCCATCCCTTCAACTCACTTTAATACAGTTCATATCGTTAAGTCTGCTTCTCCCTCCTTCTCCTCCATTCTACAATTTCACTTTCTATTTCCTTCAACTCTCCTCCCTCCTCTTCTCCCCTCTTTTCTCCTCTGTGAGACACATTTTCAGATTTGCTTAGTGGGCGGAAGCCGTCTTTACTTTTCTCTGAAAACATTTTCAGGAAAGCAAACACACACACAAAAAAACGAAAAGCACATCATTCTTTTCATTTGCTGCAGTATTTGTATTCAGGGGTCTCATTTTAATTCACGGTGTTTTTTGTTCGGAGGCTTCTCTGACACAGAAGCCCACACCGAGCCTGTTTTTTCTTTTCTTTTTGTTACCACATCAAGACAGAAAGTATTCATCAGAAAAAAAAAGCGTATTATTCAGAAACACGCACGACTTTCTTTTGTGGAAAATGTCAGGTTGTGAACGTTGGTAAGTTGGATTCAAAACAACCATTTTTCTGTCAGTCCTCTGTAGCGTTCGACCTCTCGCTTGTTCCTCCTGCTTTCATTTTATTTCTGTCTCCTGTGGGTGAAGCATCTCTGGGTTTCGTGAAATTCATTATACCAAATAAAACGTGTCCAAGCAGAGGAATTAAATGACAGGGGCGTGATGATAAAGTGAAGATCCTCTCAGCAGCCACAAAACAAGCATAGATGCCTTTACGCTGATTGCATTTCTTTCAGTTCACATCACAGAGGTTTGTGGAAACCGTGTGAGCAGATTATTAAACAATAACTTCTCTGATAATAATTAAATGTTCTTTTCTCTTTTCCAGGACAAGACAGGCAGTAACACGTCAGAAATACACAACAGAGCTTTTCAAAAATGTACATTTCGTAGTGGTTAATTTTAGAAACGAGAAATTCAATTTGTAGCTTCAGTTTCCCTTTTTCGTCTTGTTGTTAAATCCATTTCACACCCTGCCCTGCAGTAACCCCTGGCTTTCCCGCCTTTCAGCCTCCTCTTCCCCATCCACCTACTCACCTGTTCCCAATTCTCTAATCGGCTCCTGGTTTTATTTATACCGGCCCTCTTCCGCTCACTCCCCCGGTGGATTGTCTGTTGTGTTTTTCGTACCTGTTTTTGAACAAGTGCCCATTTTTGGACTTTGCCTTTTGCCAGATTTACCTGCCTGTCACTGACCCTCACCTGCTTCCGCCCACTGAGCCGTACTAAAGGTGAACTGATCTGAGCTCAGCAGCATTTGAAGACAGATAGCGTCACAGCGGCGCGACGAGGTTGTCTCATTTCAAAGGCTCCTTCAAATGCAGCCGAGAAATGCACGAGGGCGTCCAACAGGTCCAACGTATCCCATGGTTCATTGCGCACCGGTAATAAAGCCGAACAACACCAACAGAGAGCCTGAGGATTACACTGTTAAACGTAAGTATTGTGTTTCAGCTCAGTTCAACAGTTCACGGTACAACTGCTAAAACCAAACCTGAAGAATTTGAGAAAAAACGGTTATGTGTTGTCAAAGTTGCTAGGCGACAGGAGCCGCAATTTGCTACGCAACGGTAAGGAGCGGGAACAGCTGGTGACGCAAAGCGAAGACCAGACCGTCTCATTTCGGTTCAGCCTTCGTGGACAACGTCCTCTAAAACCTGAGCCCCGACTGTTTCCTCCCTTTGTTTGATTAAAACTACAGAGTCCAGCTGTTCTAGGAAATCCCTCAGTGAAACTCTACACTTAAAGAGAGAGCCTAGTTTTGGGTCTTTTCGTGGGATTTGAGATTTGACTTGAAATGAAAACGTCCACAAATGTAACTGTCGACGCTGACGAGTTAAATTAAACAAAGTAGAGTAAATCAGGAAACAGGTCACTACTCACCGAGTCGAACAGAATCTATTAAAGATAATCGAACACAGGATATTCTGTCATCATCATCTACTGTGTTAATATGCGGGAAAATGTGCTTTGTCAGTGTGTCATCATTAACAAGGTCAGCAGGATAGGATTTCTGCTGCGTAATGAAGACACATGCAGGCCTCATGTTGTGTGGGAAACACAGGACAACAGTAAGAGCCTGTATTAATAATATAGTTTTATTTCTTTTTTATTAGCTCAGTGCACGGAGGGTTGTTCCACAGGTCAGCGGGTCCAGACGCTTCAAGCTGAGCGGCTAAATCTGCTTTTGTGAGACTGTTTTTACTCCTTCTATCTTATTACTGTGGAGCTTGTTAGAGTTCAGGTGAGACAGGAGGTCAGAAGGTGGGAATCTGCCCCACTATGTCAAGAACCTCATTGTGTGTGTGTGTGTGTGTGTGTGTGTGTGTGTGTGTGTGTGTGTGTGTTGGCGTATTTACCTCGTTGAGTTCTCTCTCGGTGTTCAGGAACTCTGTGACTCCACTGATGAGCTTTGAATTCATGAACAGCGCTTCGCCATAACTGAGACAGAGACAGTGACAGAGATCGTAAGTTTTTCCGTTTGTCGTTCGTCAACAATTAAAGTTCAACAGTAAATCACGAACAGCTCCTCCAGCGATCGGCGCTCTGTCACTCACCGGGCGTTGAGGACGTCCCACTTTTCTCTGAAGTATTTCCAGGCCAGGTTTCGACCCTGAGGGTTCCTGCCCACGTGGATGATGACGTCGATCACGTCCTGCTCTGGGACCAGGTCTGAGGTCAGAGACAGGTTCAGTAACCTGGGAGAGACAGACACTTCTTCTTTAATGTCGTCTAAATGGAGCCTCTGCATGTTAGCATGCTAAAGATTCTCCTAAACAAACTTTAGCACGCTAAAAATTAGCTTATTGGTTTTACATTTAAAAATGTTCACATAGGCCTGAATGCGCTAATGTTTTAAGCCATGCTAAAACATTAGCCTGTAGCATATACCTCGAAATGTTTTAGCATATTAGCAAACATCAATATGCTGTTTTTTATTTTTATTGTTAACATGATAAAACATTAACTTGTGAATCACTTTAGCATAGCATGTTTTCTGTGAGTCATAGTTACTTTTACTTTACTCTCATCCTGTAAAAGTGTGACCACATTCATGGTAACATTTGTGTAAAATGTTAGCATGCTACTGTTTCATAGCAAGCTAAAAATTTAACCTTTACATTTTAAGTTTCTTCAGCAAACTTGCAGACATCAGTAAAGTTTAATAACGTGATGAGGGGGATCTTGTTTGAGCACAACTTTTGGTATGGTAAGTTAGCATGCTAAAATATGAGCCTAACTTATATTAGCATAGTGGGTATGATCCAATTCATTAACATACTGTAACATGCTAGCTAATGCTAATAGCATGCAAATATAGCAAACATTTCAGATGTTTTAGCATGCTTAGAAAATATCAATAAACTTTCATTAACATGCTAAAACATTAACCTGTGGATTTCAGTTTAGCATGATTTTGTATTTTAGAAGTTAGCATGCTAAAATCGTAGCCGTGGGTTAAATCTATTCTAAGTTTTAATTATATTTTAATGGTGGAAATGTGACTCAAGTGTAAAATGTTAAAATGCTCACGATTACTCGCCTGCTCACCTATTAGCGTTGCATCCTACTCTTACAATGTAAATAACATTTTACCATGCTAACAAATCTTAAACAGTACAGTAAAAACTGTCCCAACCAAAAATGTGAAATTATATATTTGGGGAAAAGTGGAAGAAAAAGATGATTAACAATTATTATTTTTCTGTTTCATCTCTGTAGTCAGTCTTCAGGGAAACATAAAATCAAGATGCCAAACACACAAACACCAGCTGTGTATCTGCGTCTGTAATTTGGGCAGAAAAGGTCAAGTTGTCTGATGTTGTCAAACAAGTTGTCGCCCGGCCGTTGACATTTTGTAGTTTTTGTGTGATTGTTATGAGTCTGGCTGTTTCTGTCAAATCAAGAGCCAGTCCCCACACACACACACACACCCACACACACACACACAGCTACAGTAATCTGATTACTCCCAGCTGGTCCAGGACGGGGGGAATTGAGGGATTAACAGAAAGTTCGGCTTCACAATCCTGAGACTTCAGACGTGTGAACACAATAATCCAAGTTTCCAAAGTGTTTTTTCAACAAAACTGATGTTCACTCGTCCAACAGTTTACCTCCATCTTTCTTTCTTTACTTCCCGTTTCCATTTTTTTTCGTATTTTTCTGTCACACCACCCTGTGTGTGTGTGTGTGTGTGTGTGTGTGTGTGTGTGTGTGTGTGTGTGTGTGTGTGTGTGTGTGTATGTGTGTGTGTTAGCTGGTTGTTTGTAGCGGCTGTCTTTTCATTAAACCCCAAAATCAATTTTCTCTCTCTTTTCCCACAATCCCTCTGTGCTGAAACCATTTCCTGTGTGACCAATCAGTGTGAATGTGTGCTGTGGTCAGAGTTTCTTTCTTTGTGTGTGTGTGTGTGTGTGCTTGTGTGTGTGTGTGTGTGTGTGTGTGTGTGTGTGTGGTATTGATTTTCCAGCCACAGTAAACTGTTCTGCAATCAGAGAGGTAGTACTGCATGTTCAGATAGCAGTTATCACACACACACACTCATACACACACACACACACACACACACACACACCAATCTGTCTCACTGTACAGTTTTGAGTGTGTGTGAGATCCATCCTCACTATTTTACTGAACGAGAGATAGTGGCAGCTTGCTCCCGATAAATTACACCGCTGATAACACACACACACACACACACACACACACACACACACACACACACACACACACACACACACACACACACACACACACACACACACACACACACTGGGCTAGATTTATCTACATGTAAGGCCTCGGGCAAATTGCCAGTGCACCTTTCATTCCAGTCTGTAGTCTACCTGCAGAAACTTACTGCAGATAAAAAAACATTTATTGTGCGTTTGTGTGTCTGCTCCACATAAAGTTTACTGAATTGAATTGAATAACGAGGTAACAGCTGGACGATCACGTTGCTCTGTGTATGGATGTCTAAACACTAAGCTAACACATTAGCCACACAAACGTTATGTTTACAGCTTGTGTCGCCCCCTAGTGGCAAATAATAATCAATTACTGCTGCTTTAACTTTCTCCTTTTATTCTCATAAATGATAAAAAAACTATATAAAAAGAGAATCTGCTCATTTTGTTTAATGTGGTGTGACGCGGTGGAGGAGAACTGATCGTTACCACGTTCATCTGTTGGGGGCAACAGCCTCCGGTCGGCCTCGTTGTGTAATTTGGTTAAAGACCATTTTATTCAGGAATATCTCGGAGGCCCGTCTCTAAGGTCGTAAAATCAGCACATAGCGCAGTTGATTCGTGCTTCAGTGTTTCATAAAACACCGACAACCGATCGAAAGCAGGGCAGCTGTGAGACCTCACAACATCCTGACAGAGACGAATCCTTCTGCCCTCAGCTGAACACCCGCCATCTTTCTACCAGCTGAGAACATGGACTTCAGTTTCCTCCTCACCTACAGACGTCAGCTGAAACAATAATAATACAGTGTCCACTATGTTTTTTAAGGAAGCTTTTCCAGCGTTGACCAAACTGACCTGCCCCCTAGTGGATCTACTTTTTAATCCACCTGGTTCATACAAAGTGCACAGGTGTTCGTCTACACCTGTATGTCATTAAAACAGCAACAGATCAATACAAAAGCAAATGAATTTCTTCTTGAATCTGCAGAGACAGTCGGAGGAAGTCACATTATTAGATTCTCAGAGGGACGACTGGGACTGTTAACGCTTCACAAGTCCAGAGATATTTCTAACTAATGTTAATCAATGATATTGATTAGTGGAGCTGCAAAGGGAAACAATAGTTACAAGGTTTCTGACTGACACAGCAGCGTCATCTGTACCTGTTGAGGAGGAAGGTGTTGTCGGAGCAGGTCAGAGCCTCCAGCAGGATCTTCTTCTCTGAGACGGCGTTGGACGAGTGAAACTTCATCCAGATGAACTCCCACACGTCCTCGTCCATCAGACTGACGCCGGTGCAGTAAACGATGTCTCTGATGTTGGGAGGAATCCTGCGGAAGACACGACGCAAAGCCGTCAGGACGTTACGGCGGCAGAGTCGAGCACCTGTTCTACCTGTTCCTGTTCTACCTGATGTCATACCTCTGTTGCATGTAATGCAACAAGATGATGATCGTTACCATGACGACCGGTACAAGGAACGAAAAGTGTGGACGGTTGCAACGTGTGGATTGAACCCGAGAACAAAACGTGAACTCTCCAACGACCATTAATGAGGTCACACTGTGAATTGCGGAGTTATGGCAAAAACATGTTTTGTGATGTCACAGTGACCGTGACCTTTGACCTTTGACCATCAAATTCTAACGGGTTCATCCTTGAGTCCAGGTGAATGTTTGTGCCTCGAGGTGTTCCTGAGATGTTGACAACCAGGAAACATCAAACCTCTGTCCACAGCTGTCGTCATGGAGACATAAAAACTGTCCCTCACTTCCTCTCTGTTGGCGCTGGAGCTGCAGTGTACAGTATCAAACAGGAAGTAGAGTTACTACAGGTAACTACTGTATCTGCGGTTGGCTGCTTTGTACACTGACAGTACGGTACACACACACACACACACACACACACACACACACACACACACTCCATACCCCAGCTGGTCGGTGGCCTAAATCATCAGTAAAGCAAAGAGGTGAATATTTCCTCCACACTATAATGTGTGTGTGTGTGTGTGTGTGTGTGTGTGTGTGTGTGTGTGTGTGTGTGTGTGCGTTTGACCTAAATTGTCAATAAACCAAAACTAAAAACTTTCATCACAATACAGTGAGCTCAGCTGGCAGGAATATTATATACTGAATTACCACACACCATATGAGAATGTGTGTGTGTGTGTGTGTGTGTGTGTGTGTCTGTGTGTGTGTGTGTATATTTTCTGTGTGTGTGAATTTATAATGTGTGAGTGCAGAGTGAGTGATGCAGGGACAATTACATCATTCACCGACCTGGGAAATCATTTTAGAGATGCTCCACTTAAGAGCAAGCTTCAAAACACACACACACACACACACACACACACACACACACACACACACACACACACACACACACACACTGGCTAACTTCCACATTACTGCTGACTGTGGCATTAAAGTGCTTCTCAGACGACAGCTGCCAAACACTGTGCTCTGGAGTGTGTGTGTTTGTGACTGTGAGTGTGTTTATCCAGATAACGTGACGTCGATGAGCCTCCACCAGATTATTCATCATGTAAAACACAACGTGCGGCTCCTGTCTCCTGCCTCTGCAGCCGCTGCAGTTGTTTCTAATAGAAACTACTGTGATAATGTGAGTTTTTCTCTGTAGAATATAAAATGGAGGAAGAGAGTCTCTGGAAACCTCCAGATGGCTCTGATCCCATTAACTAACACACTCACTCTGAGTGTGTGTGTGTGTGTGTGTGTGACAGTGTGTGTTTTAACAGTCTGTAGAGGATGTTTTATGTCCTGAAGCTCTTCTCTTCCTCCTGAAATATCTCTCCCTCCCTCTCATTCTTCCTCAGCCTCCCGCTCTGACAGTAAACATGTCTCTCCACCATCTGCTCTGTCTGTCTGTCCATATGTCTTCCTGCCTGTCTGTCTGACTCCGCCAGTCTAAATGTCACTTTGAATTTTGAGAATCACTCGGTCGGGCCGATGGAACATTTGAAGCTCGTGACGGAGTCAACACGAGCTCGGTCAGGTGTTTAAACCCTGACTGAAGATGCTGCCGTGCGACCGCCGCATAAACTGCTAAATCCAAAATCATCCCAGACGTGAGACCTGCTGCTGAAGAGCCTTCACTTTCACTCCACACTGACTTTTCTTCTTTTCTTTTGCAGCCACTATCCTGAGAACCAGCTGTCCTGTGAGCAGCACACCCCCGAGCTCCTGAAAGCAGCTGGACAAACTTATATTACAAGACGGGCGACCATCAGCCGCCGTGGCTTAGCGCTCACGGCGAGGAGAGGGGGAGTGAGAGGGAGTAAATACCCTGCAGCAAACACAGGCTTATGGATTTGTGTGTGGATGTATGTCCTTTAATTGTTCCGCAGTCAGGCCACGTATAGAGGACTCCCCACACCAGCAGGTTCCGCTCAGTGCAAACTGGCTTTAGGTTCCTAGTAACCAAGAGTCGCCCCGGGAGCCTGAGCCGAGCTGGATCCCAGCAACTCTCTATAAGCTCTGACCATATGGTGTGTCGGCGCCATCGCAGGAGAAAAATGTGTGTCTGAAGAAACTAGAGACGAGTGTTTGACTTGGCGGGGGTGGGGGGGAGGGTGAAAACAGAAGTCAGGAAAAATGATCATTGTCACTGTCACTTACAGTAATATTCACTTCGTTCTGGTTTTCAATGGGTTTCAGTTTGGGTCCAAAGTATAGAACTTTTTAAAGCCCAGGAAGTTCATTCCCAGTGCAGCAAGGCAGGTGTGTGGGGGTGTGGCTTTAAAGCTCCTCCAGTGTAAAGGTCTGTGTCCATGTGTAGTGTGATTATAGATCAGCTCTAGCTTCTATATTAATACTGTGAAAGTATCAAAGCCTCAGTCCACAGAGAAATGCACACAGCCTGTATTCAGACACTGAGCCTTAAAACCAGCCGTCAGGACTTCTGGAACTTTGTGATGTCACAACAAAGCAGTCGCCAAGCCCCGCCCACCTGGACCCACCATCCAAACCTTCAGACTGGATGGAGCTTTAAGACCTTTGTCAGTTTGTTATGATTATATGTTGCAGACACAGGAGACCTGGGCCCAGACGTGATACCAGCACAGAAATACTGAACACAAAGAACAGAGAGTAGATGGTTAATGGAGACTCCAGCAGGCTCATTGTTGCCCCCCCCCCCCCCCCCCCCCCAAGACTGATTCAGACATGGCTGCAGCCGCACTAATACAAATTTGAAAACTGATCTTTTCTGATTCATTTAGAAGGTTCATTTACAATAAAACCCCGGTGGGACGTGATTAATATTCCAGGGGGAGGTAGGTGTTAAAATATTAGCTGTTCTCCGCAGTAATTACACTCATTGTTCTGGAAGGGATTTCAGACCCGTGGCGTTACAGCAGGTGGTTTCTATCACCCTCAGGAAACGTGCAGGTGTGACACCGATCTGCTGTCTGACTTTAAGTCCTTTATCGCACATGAAGAAGAGCTGATGTACAGAGGATTTCATAGGTGCTGAATGACATTCAGATAACTGCTGGGCCGGGTCACATGAGGTCTCTCCTCACGAGCGCTACAACGAGAAGCAGCTTTGTAATTAATACCTAGGAGGAAAAAGCACATACATGTGCTCTGAGGATCGGATTAAAATCACTGAATAGAGCATGAAATATTAAAAAAATCCCCCCTGGGGAGATTAATCCTGCTTGAATATGGATTCATTTGGCTCTTTGCCATCACTTAAAATGGTTTGCTTCCCAAACAAAAAAAAAAAAAGAAAAGAAAAAGGCCATTTGTAGTGAGGATGGAGAAATGCAGCTTCTCCAAAACGCTGCCATATGGTTGTTGTGTGAGCGTCTCCCCTGTCGCTCGCTCTGAAGAAAACAACGAAGGTTTGAGAAGGACTGAAATGGAGGAAGTGTTTTTGTTGTGAGCGGTGAACTCTCGGAACGTCCTCCTCCATTCATGAAATCAGCTGGACCGGGTCTGAAACAGTGTTTAATTCAGTGTTGTTTAATTTAAGCTCGCCTCTTATCACCATCTCCCCGCTGTCCTGAACAGAACTCCAGCATCTGTTTCTGTTTAACTTGCTGTTTGAAATCTAATTTTGCGGATCTCTTTAAGAACCCGGAGGGAGCGGAGCAGCCGGCAGCACATGAAAGAGAGAGAGAGAGAGAGGAGAGAGAGAGGCCGACAGGAGGAGAGAGGAAGAGTGGACGGCGGAGAGACACAAGGGGATGGATGTGAGAGGACGGACGCCGCTTCTGTCAGACGAGGTTTGTTCCTCTTCAGCTCGAGACACTTCGTGGCGTTCGTCGTGCGTGCGGTCGAGCTGCAGCCGCACGACATCATTCGAGCTGTAAGTAAAGATGGACGTCGCCCTCGGTGACATCACCCACAGGTTTCTGAAGCTCAGAGTGAGCTGCTTCGTCATCGCCATCTTGGCAGCATCTGACTCCGCCTCTCACTCCCAGCTAATACAAATATGGTCAAAGAGGAGGGGCCTGTGTGTAGCCGAGACTTTGATGCGTATGCTCATCCATCTGTCACTCAAAGAGGCCACGCCCTCAATCCTCCATAACTTTAGTCCTTAATAAAACGTAAACAGGTGAGTTATATAAACAGGTGTCATGAAGGAGGAAATCAGCTCTAGAGACCAAAACAGTTTTTGTACCAGGCTGTAAACATGTTTATTTCTGCTGTAAACATGTTTGTTTTAACATGGGAGTCTATGGGGACTGACTCACTGTTGGAGCCAGACTCTAGTGGTCGTTAGAGGAACTGCAGTTTTCGGCCCCGGACGTCGACGCTCGGCCTCCACTTCCTCCCACTGTACAACAAGCTGAGTCTGCACAGTAGTGATCAGGGGGTGGGGCTGTGGTATCAAGGTCCCGCCCATACACCTGTTCGTCAAGCATGACGTCACACTCCTGTTTTACCGCTAAATAACGAATTAAAACTAAACTCGTCAGAGAAATGAACAGTTGGTAATCTACCTAAAACGACAGAAACCATTTATGTACTTTGATTTTTTCGTGTGGCGTTCAAGATGTTTTGGCTTCACCTTTAGGAGCTGTGATGTCGTCCATCTTTAGATAGAGTCATAGGACATAAAACTAAACACCTTTGCCTCGTTACGTCTTTTATTATTAGTTTTTCTACGATGCCGGTTCCAACACTTTGTTGTTATATGATGAATTTTCATTCGCACAAATTTCAGCGCTGGAAAAAGTTTGTGTTTATTCGCCCCAAACAGCCGACAGACCGTTAGCTGTAGGTTAGCTAACACTGACAGGGTGTTTGTGTGTGTCTGTGTCTCTCTGCTTTTTCCTCTAAACTCTTTACATTTAAGAAGTAGATTAAAAAAAGCTCCAGATCAAGTTTATTTTTGGGTGAATTTGCCTCCAGTGGCGTCTTTTCATGGACTTTGCATTTGTGCCACTTTTTAAATTCAGTTTGCGTTTTGTCTGAACACACAGGAAGACTCCGTCCGGGTTAAATGAAACACTTGTACAGATAGAGTGTGTGTGTGTGTGTGTGTGTGTGTGTGTGTGTGTGTGTGTGTGTGTGTGTGTGTGTGTGTGCGTACCTGTTCTTGTTGCTGGAGATCCAGTCAGAGATGTAGGCGACAGCCTGACGGTGGCACTGCTTGTTCCCGAAGCTACAAGCTAACATGATGAGCTCCCTCTGTAACTCCCTGCAGAGACACACACAAGACGAACCTCAGGGGACGTCGCTGTCTGTCATCTCGACCAGTTTCACGTCTCTACCCTCAGTGCAGAGACGCCGCAGGTCCAGGACAGCGCTGCTTTGTTTATCACACAGGAAACTGATAGTTCTCTGATGAGAAACCGACTGATCTTGGTTTTGGAGCAAGTGTAGAAGTAATTGTAGCAACTATTAGCATTGGAGCTAAATATCTAGTGCTATGCTAGCAGTTACCCATGTCCAGGCTCTGGACTTCCTGTCTGAGACCATTCAAAGAAAAAGGTTATGAGTTCAGAGACAAGTGTCTGAATTGACTGATGTGTGTGTGAGTGTGTGTGTGTGTGTGTGTGTGTGTGTGTATGTGTGTGTGTGTGTGTGTAAGTGTGTGTGTGTGTAGCATACTCAGTCTGGTAGGACGCCTGCAGGACGTTGCCCTCGCTGCCGGGGCCATTTGTCGGCCAACCCATCTGATGGTACCGCGACGCAACCTGCCTCAACACGTAGTCCTGTAGACACACACACACACACACACACACACACACACACACACACACACACACACACACACACATAAGCATTATTTAACAGACTCACAGCTGTCAGCACTAAAGAGACTCTAATGGGGAGTCTGAGTGTTTACTGACTGACTGACTGATTGATTGATTGACTGATTGAGATAGTGATTGATTGGTTCTTTACACTGAACAGGCTGTATTCCTCTGTGCGGTCCAGCAGTTTGTCCAGCTGGTAGAGCGCTCGGCTGGCAGCGTGCCACGGCAGGAAGGACGTCTCCTCGGGCAGATAGCCAATCAGCTGCAAGGGAACGCCCTGGGGGAGGTACCCCGCCCTGAGAGAGAGAGAGAGAGAGAGAGAGAGAGAGGAAGTCAGGTTCATATCATCATTCTCCACTGACGGAGGCTACGTCCATCTTTATGTCCAGTCTGTGGTCGACACACGACGACTCGTCAGGATTTGCCGTCACATTTCTACGAGCTGAAACGTGTCAAAAGTAACACGCTTATCAAACTTGGCACATCCCAGCCACCGTACCTCCACTGAGTGTATTCAGTTTGAATCTTCAGTTAAAATCAGGAAGCACAAGTGAACTGAACTCATTACACAGAGTCCGTTCTGTGATCTTTCACTTTTTCTCTTCCTCTACTTATTACAGCAGAGTCCAGGAGACACACAGGTGCATTGTGGGACATGAATCCAATTTGAAACCAGATCTTGATGTGGAGTTGATCTTTAACCCTCAGATGTAAAAACCCTCTGTGGATTGTGTGCGTGTGTGTGTGTGTGTGTGTGTGTGAATAAACTATTTTATGAACACATTAAGAAAAATTTGGCCTCTAAATGCCACTGGAGCTGTTTAGCATCATGAATATTAACGAGCTTCCTTTCTGCATTCATTAACATTCATGATGTTTTTTTTTGGTGGGGGAGTGGGGCACTCACCTGCTGCTTCCTGACCTTCAGCTCCGCCCACAGCTCATGAATATTAATGAGGTGAGACGGACGAGGACCGACGGTGAACTCGGGGAGGTGATGTAAGTTTTATTGGTTTTGTTCGAGCAGAGACAGAAGTGACCGACGAGGGAAATTTATGACTTCACGCCGACTGAGGCCGAGCGCCGACCTTTACTCAAGAGCTGTCAATCAAAGTGAGCGGCGGACATGCGGACAGGAGGGGAGAGGATTTAATGTTGTTTTCATGGACGTCCCGGTCAAATGTTTTTGGCCCCTGAACCTGATCCAAGTCCTTTAATACTGGGTATCTGCCAAGTCCTGGTCCGAGCCGATACTTTATTATATTTACTTCAGTGCTGATTAAAGGTGAATCTGACACACCTGGAGTTCCCTTCCTCTCTATCAGCGTCTTGACCCGAATACTGAAGGTCGCCGTTCAAGAATATAAAGTTTATAAGTTATTGATGTGATATGATTGAAAGTTCAGTTGGAAGAACGCCGTCCCCCGACAGTGATGTGCCACGATGTGCTAGACAGAAGACGTCTCACTCTGTTGGATTTGTCGGGGACTAAAGAAACTTGTGGTTTTACAGTTTCACACAAACTCTTTCTGACAGGTGCTAGCAGCGGCGCACAGAGAGCCGAGTTTAACTCAGACCTGTCGTCAACTCACTGACAGCATTAACATTAATTAGCGACAGCTGATGAGACAAAGCGCCGCCGCAGTTTGTCATTTTAACCGGCGACAGCGACGCTCAGCACGGGCTGAAAATAAGCAGCTGGTTTAACTATTAGAGATCGAAACTTTCCAGCCTCAGTCTCATTTGTTCATATTGCTCATTTTTCATTGGTTTAGGCAGCGGGATGCTGCACTGAAGGCTGTCCTAAAGCTCCTCCAGTGTAAAGGTCTGTGTCCATGTGTAGTGTGATTATAGATCAGCTCTAGCTTCTATATTAATACTGTGAAAGTATCAAAGCCTCAGTCCACAGAGAAATGCACACAGCCTGTATTCAGAAACTGAGCCTTAAAACCAGCCGTCAGGACTTCGTCAGGAGAGAGGAGATGTAAAACTACACTGAGATGGTTTTTGGTTCTTAAAACCATAAATATATCTTCTTATGGGTCAACACTTCAAAATAAAAGAGGAAAATATGGAGCTTCAATGGATCAGGTAGAAGAAACACAGGATCGGATTTTAGTCGTGTTATTTTTAGCCAATAGTGAAACATTAAAATACACCTGGATCCAACTGTACGACTCGACTTCTTTGATGAGACGGTTTTAACTCACAGAGACAGACAGACGGGTCGACAGGGAGACAGACCTCCACAGAAAGTTAATATATGTGAGATAAGACTCTGTAAGTCTTTAAGCAGCCAGCAGAGGAACTCTAAATTCCAGACCATCATATTTCCATAATCTGCCTCATATCCAGCCCGACCAACCTCCACACAGTCATCTCCAGTCCTATCATGCACCTGGCCTCTGGGACATTACCATAATCCATCCAGCCTGCAGAGACTTCCTGTTTACAGCTCTCCCGACGACGGATGAGGCTGAACACGAAGGCAAGAGAGAGGAGGGGAGAGAGAGAGAGACACTGTGATCACCATGGCAACAGCATCCAGCCATTCATCTTTTTGCTCATTTTTTTATTTTTTATTTTTGGTCCATCAAAAATGTTTTCCCAAACATCATCCATCACCTGCTCATCCATCACCCGTCCAGCCGCTGCAGCTCGTAGCATCAACGCCACAACTTCAGTCGAACCGCTCACATGTGATCAGTCGTCAGAGCAACTGTCAAAACAGCAGCTGTATTTCCTCTGTCTACTTATGTTGAGCTCGCTCTCTCTCTCTCTCTCCGTCAGCCTTTCATTTCTTTCCGTCTCTGTACTCACAAACTTTACACCTGATGTACACGATATTTTGAGGATGTTTATTTGTGTTCCCTTGTTTTCTGTTTCTCTCTTTTGTCTTCTTTCTAATAAAAGCGGCAAAAATGTCATTAAAACAAGCTTCAGCAAGAAAACACACAGTGTGTAACTTCTGCAGCCAATTGTCTCTCAATCAAAACAACGACAAAAACAGATGTTGTAGCGTGGGATCATGGGAGTTCTTGTTTTCACCTGCACTGCTGTCAACTTCTCCTTGTTAGGATTCCTTCATTGTCGGTAATTCAGGAGGTTTTTTTTTTTTTACAAATTTCCTCCTCTCCGAAACAAACAGACCAGGTGATTAAAACACTGAATAAAACAGTTTCACGTTAAAAATCTGTGTTTTTAGTCATGGAGGGTCTGAGAGCCGCTAACGTTTGCCTGTAAGGTTTCCCGCTGACATTTGTTCAGCTTGTTTCTCTGATAGATTAAGATCCAGACGTCCGATAACTGAAATGTAAACTTAAAAAACAACCGAGACCTAACAGGGTGTCATAAAAATGTGGCTTTTAACTGAATAAAAAGTAGATTTTGATGCTTCTGGCAGACACACACAACGCTGACACCTGCACAAAGGGAACATGACAGGCGACCTAATGAAACAGACTGTTACTGTGATTAAAGTCACAGATTTCTCTAGACTTGAAAATGGCTTAAACAACACGCAGTAGTTCTAGCTGTTTATAGATCATTTAATGCAGAGAAGTCACATATTATCACGGTTCAAACAGCCACTTATCCGTACTGTATATATCAGTCACAACATTCACTTCAACCATCGGATGAACCCAAACTCAGGACTAACTCTACACCCAGGCCTGAGAACAGCTGAACTATCAGTCTGTTGTTTTATCTGTTTAACTTTCACACTGAGTTTGTAATGAACACTGCAGCCTTTAAACTGAGCTCATTAACTCGTTAACATCGTTAAGGGCCAGTTAATTGTTTGTCCATTAGCTATTAGCGAGGCTCAGTGGAGAGCTAACGAGGGACTGCTGCGGTCACACACACACACACACACACACACACACACGCACAGAGAAAAAGAGGCGACATCCATCACTGTTTAAGTGCACACTCGGAGAGACACGGCCATTTATTACTGTTAAACTAGCTTCACACACACACACACACACACACACACACACACACACACACACACACACACACACACTGCTGCCACCCATCAGTGTTCAGTGCTGTGTGGATTGCTCGAACTGTAAACAGAAGAAGAATCAGCACAACTGAAATGAATTCTGAGATTAAAGATCTTTCAAAGTGTAATGAAATCAATGAGCGGTGATCAGAAAAAATGCTGACACGGCGTCTCTGTGAACAAGGCGTCTGCAGTGTGTTTTGTCACCGACTCGCAGCTTTTCCTCTTGTCTGCGCTCTGGGAGCTAAACTGAGCTAAACACACAATAACATGGCGGCAAACAATGGCCGACAGAGGATTACACTGTTAACGTACGTAGTGGGTTTCAGCTTAAAACCGAGGGCCTCGACACCTCAAGTGTTACGTGTTGGCAACAGGAACCACGGTAACGGCGTGCACAGCTTTGAAGGATGCGGCCACAGCTGTAGTCAGATGACAAGAGGATCATGGGAACTTATGATGGCGGGTTGGAAACAAACCTCCAGGTTAGTTAACGGTAAAATAATTTCCTAAACTGTCCGTTGAAAACATCGTTCACAGTTCACCAGGTCAGGTGACTCTCAACACAAATGACAACAACTGTCAACAAGTCCTCATCTCCAACTTCCAAGTACGAATTGCAGTCAACGCTGGAGTCCGAGTCCGAGTCCGAGTCCGAGTCTTCAGTGCTCACGTCGAGTCATGACGGACTCAGGTCTGAGTCCTGGACTCGAGCACCACAACGCCGGAGTAAACATGTGTTTCCTCATCAATGAGGGGAGATTACCCACATTTCAGGTGCGCTTGACTTTCTGATCATCTGACTGCTCAGGTTTCTTTACCAATAAACTCCTTGTTAGTGACGCTGGTAACTATGGTAACTTCTTGAGCCACGTGAGTTGAGTTCAGTGTTTTTTATCACAACTGACAGAAATGACCCTGGTACTAAGGATCACCTGCCCGTCGTCACTCTGCTCACTGTCGAGATGGAGGTTACAGCAGGTGACAGGACGCGTCCTCACATCAGCTCTAATGTGACTACAACTAGAAGCCTCCCGGGTTTCCTGCTGAGGAACATTAACTTTGTATTTAAAGGTTCACTTCACCCAAATTTCCACAAACATTATCCGTCCATGTGGAGGATTTTATGTGTCCAGGTTTTGAGTTATCTGTTGCTGAGATTTCTGCTGCAGCCCGACACAGAGCAACAGAGCAGCGTTAAACAACCCCGTCTCTCTACAGAAACAGTGTCTCATTAATCAGGTCGCTCCAACGACCCACACACCATCAACACACACTGTTTCTCTGGTAGAAAGTCTTTCCAGTAAAGTGTCTTTGAACCACCGCGAGGACGAGAAAAAACCACCACGATGTTTTCTTGTAACGCAGTGTGGTGATGTTCGCCGTTGCCACAGCGACTGATGTGGGCTGAAGTAAGTGTCTCCTGTTCCGCTGTCACTGTGACTATTAATGGGTCGGTAGTAGCTGGAAACCTCCTACTGAGCTCCTAACTCATCAGCACACACTCTCAAAAGGAGGATGGCAGCGCAGTTGTCTCTCGCTGTGGGTCGTTCAACATGACAGAGGACAGATGGCGGAGAGAGAGAGAGAGAGAGATACAGCAAAAAGAAAGAGGGGGGGTAGATTGAGTTATAGGGCTGGTGTCAGAGTAGATTTTGGTCACAGTGCTCAAAAAGCTCCAGGCTGAAAACATCATCATGAGGAACGACTCGCTCCTCTGTGTGGCTGCAGCCTCACTGATCCCTCATTCATCACGGAGTTTCCGTCTCTGGCTCTTTCTGAATTTCTCTTCAGCGTTCTTACGTCGGCGGCTGACGCTGACGCTGAGTACGGCAGCTGGACGGTGTGTGACAGACCCAGATGTGATCACTGATCTGCGGCCACACGATGACCAAAGACACCCCTGAGGACAGGATGTTGCTTAAAGGGAAATTCTGGTATTTCTTATTCAAATATGTTTGTGACTCGCTTTCAGTTTAGCTCGTGTGCATGTTTAAGTGCCGTCGTTCTGTAGGAGTGAAAGCAACAACATGTTCTGCTTCTGCAAGTTTTTCTGAATTGCAAAAATAAAATAACACACTTAACTGTTTTTCGACCAAATAGTCCCAGGACCCGTCGAACCAGAAAAACCAGACTCTGGAACTAAATGTCCTATTTACAACTTGTGCAAAACTTTACTGACAAAATAAATAAGAACTTTTAAAATTATGCAAATTACACTGATGATGGATTGGAAAGCTGGTGGTGTTTGAAGCTATTAAATTTCACCGACTCAGTGGTTCTACTTACAAACGTATTTCTACCTCATTTCCACAGACTGAACCTGTAAAATAAAGTGACTCAGTGGAACATTTTCTATCTACTTTAGAATTAAGAAGTTTTATTCGCCTTTCTAAGAGACTCTCATAGTTTGTAAATAAAGATGGACGTAGCCTCTGTGACGCCACCCGCAGGTTTTTTGAAGAGCGGTTTTGAAGCTCAGAGTGAGCTGCTGCGCCGTCGCCATCTTGGCGGTGCCTGACTCCGCCCCTAACTTCCAACTAATCCAGACATGGGCAATACAACACAAACAGTGTCGTTTATTTTTAGTACCAAACCAACAAATGTACAGTCCTTGTTAAACACCAACTCATTTCTTGGAAATTACAAGGAAAGCTTCCAAGAACTTCGCTGTGAAATACATCTAATTAACATACATAGATTTACCAGTTCACAATCCCTCAAGAGTTTTGAGGTCTGAAGTGCCTCTACAAGACAACCAAAGACTCAATCACACTCTAAAAGTTTTACTGGAAAGCTGCTGGAGGCTCATCAAATCTATTGGTATGGAGCTGAGGAAGATAATGTAAAGTAGAACATGGCAACTTCACGCAGAGAGAAACAGGACTGAGGAAAACCTTCTGCCTCAAGGCGACAGTGGTAATCCCTGAGCCACTGAGCTGCACTTATCATCGAGGCTGTGGATGGTGGAGGAATCCACTGCTGGCAAAGCTCCATCCCGAGGCCTCGTGTCTGAATGTAAATTTGTGTATGAAAAATCCATAGGTCTTAACTGAATTCACAGACGGCGTATAAACCTTTGTATGTACAGCTGTGGAACTACATGCCCAGCAGCACAGCACCATCTCATTGACTCTGCTAAATAGATGATAACAACTCTGAAGTGTACCCGTCCATTTAAAAAAAAAATAAAAATCTCAGTCCATGGAAACAAACATATCAGAGGGAGGCAGACGCTGCATCGGCCCTGTTCAACAAACACAGACTCCTCGTTGGGAAACAATATGAAACAAACACACACGGACAGACACACTGCTGCACTCAGACGCTTTACAGGCTGAGTGACACATGAACCAATCAGTGTTTTAACGAACTGTACCTCAAGTCAAGTCAATTTTTATTTGTCTAGCACCAATTCACAACATAATTTATCTCAAGGCACTTTCCAAACAGAGCAGGTCTAGACCTTCTGTTTATAAAATTATTTTCAGAGACCCAACAATGTGTGTGTGTGTGTGATGGTGATCTAAAGCCCAACTGCAAATGGTCAAGAGAAAACTCACCTGGCCAAGTTGAATGCATCATCGATAAGTCCCGCCCTGTTTCCGACCGAGATGATCTAAAAGAAAGAGAGAGAGAGAGAGAGAGAGAGAGAGAGAGAGAGAGACTTAGTCAAAAATGAAAACAGAGTTAAACAGACAGAGAGACGGCCAGATAAACGGTCATACTTGGGGGTTGGTGTGGAGTTGTTGAATCAGCAGTTTCCAGTTCTGGAGGTCGTAGTTCACGCGGAAGTAGCCCGTCTGGTTAATGTTGCCCAGTAACCAGGTGTTGTCGCCCATCTGACCAACCCTGTGGGTCTCTGAGAAAACAAACAAAACAGATCCACGAGTCTGTCAGTTAATCAACTGTGGTTCAACAGAAGAGGTAAAAGAAACGCCGTGATATCCACTGAAGGTCATCACATATGCAGACGATACCACGCTGTCCTGCTGAGTTCTTGGCGATATTTTAAAGTCATTACTTAATGTGATGTGTATTCTTTAAAAAACCGGAACCTGAAGTGAAACAGACAAACAGTGAGGGGTCAATCTAAAGTGTTATTTTTATTTACACCCATTATGCTTCATTCATGTCATACAGAAGTTAATGTAGTTACAAGTTTTCAACTTGGAAATGTTTTTAAAGTCAAGAGACAAATCAGAATCACAATAATTCAGGGTAACTTTATGAAATCTAAATATACTGTATATTGAACTTGCCCTGATCTACAGATGTAAAAGTCAAATAAATACTAATGTGAGCAACAGGGAGACCAAGTGAAGGCAATGATTGGCCATCAAACATGGGAACCTGTCCCATCTTCACCATCCGTCCGATGTGACGTGAATGTGTCGTTAGTGCAGCATTACATCATCACTGAGGACGTACTGTTTTCCAGGATTTCGCAGTTTCCTAAGTTCAAGCGCCTCTTTCAGTCTCAGGATCTGTGAAGCTGAAGCCAGTCGACTGTACAGCTCACGGAAAAGACACTTGTAGTCTAAGATGAATAAGTAAAGCAGGTGAGAAAATGGAACCAGCGGCACCTTTCACCCCACAGAACTAAATAAAACTGTAAATAAAAACCCGAGAAGGCAGCAGAGGATGTAAAAATTAAAACAACTAAACATAAACTGCAAAATCCTCCTCACAGAAAAAAAAAAAACAAAAGAAAAACTGGGCTGTAAGCTTTAGTAGAACAGCCAGGTGAGGAACAGAAGGGAAATAACTTCTGACCCAAGTCTGGCCCACTTCCTAAACTTCCTCTCCACTGCTTGAAATTAAACTGTCTCGAAGTGTCGAACTTCAAGGCTCCCTCCCTTCTCCGTGTACCTCAGAAGAAGGTGAAGTGGTACCAGAACCCCTACTAGTTCTCTTAATTATACCCTTCATGTACTGAAAGAGGGATTTTTATTCTCCAAGAAAAGACGAACGCATGAGCGCCATCTTCCAAAAATGGAAAGAGAGAGAGAGAGAAAGCTTTATTTTCCAGAAACAGCAGCAGAATGACCTCTACTCGCCAAGAATTGAAAAAGCGAGAGATTTATTCAGAAAAACTAGATGCAGAATGAGCTTCGAAATCCAGCTTTATTCCTCAAAAACAGAACCAAAACGGGTTTTAATATCCGTAAACAAAACTGGAATTGGCTTTTTTTTTTCTTCTCCAAAAACAGAAGCAGAATGAGTTTTACTATTCATAATAAGAAGAATGTTTTATTCACCAGAAACAGACAGACAGGCCATTACTCTCCAAAATCCTCAGCAGAACAAGGGTTATTTTCCAATAACAGCACAAGATAGTGTTTTATTTAAAAAAAAAAACAAAAAAAAAACATATTACTCAAAAACAGACAAAACAAACAAAAAAGAAAAAGAGAGTTTTATCCCTCCAAAAGGGATCAGAAGAGCTTTATTTATATATTTATAGAGAGTGGGAGAGAGCTGCAGTCTTCAAAAACAAGAACAGGAATGAGGTTTATTCCCAGTGCTGACAAACCTCTCAACACCGGAAAATGGAAAACTCCGAGTGGAGCGTTTCCTCTGAGGAATACACCTGCGAGCTTCAATTTTTTACTCCATTAACTACGAATCACACATCTCCAGATAATGAGATGATTAATTTGCGATGGAGAGGAAGTTTTCTCTGGTAACGTAACAAAAAATAATCCCGAGACAGCAGCTTGTTATCTGAAGGAAACGGGATAATTAAATCCTGATCACGGCGATCAGGGAGATAGATGTTCAATAACTGATACACAGCAGCCTCATCTGAAGGACCGTACCTGTCTTGTTGTTGATCCAGATGAGGCTCTCCAAACAAACAGCGGATGTGTTTCCCACGGCGACCGTCAATGGGACCTGCCACTGTAAACTACAGAGAGGGAGAGTGATGTCAGTAATGGTCAGTGAAATTGGATTGGGTTTTATTGCCTGAGTTATCAGACAGAGAGACATTAGAGAGAGAGAGAGAGAGAGGGAGAGAGAGAGTGATGGTCAGCGATGATCACTCCACATCAGTCAGGTGGAAATGGAGCGAGCGACACTCGCCGTGCCACGGAGAGAGAGAGAGCGAGAGAGAGAGAGAGGGAGAGAGAGAGTGTAATAGCTGCAGCAGTCAGCAAACATCAGTCAAGTGAAGTGGCTGAGGGTTATTGTCTCTCTCGGAGAGCGAGAGAGGTTAAATGTGATGTCCAGCCGAAACTCCGTGTGGTGATTTTCACATTTTCAGACGAGCTCAAAGACACATAAACGCTCCTTTTACCGCTCGAGTGAATCCTTCAACCTGTCGGGCTCATAAAGACTTTTAAAAACCAATTAGATTATCTTTAAATGGCATCGCCGCCAAGCTTAAACAAGGCTGTTTTTTCTAGGGTTTTGAGAGGCTGACATTTGGGAGTTAAATGGTCTTTGAATCACAGCGAGACAGACTGAAGGACGTGAGAGGGAAAAAAAATGTCCCCAGAAAACCCAAACACACAATGGGAACAGCCAATCAGAGAAGAGGAGGCTCTGAGCTTCTCTGAGAAACCAAATCCTGCAAGGTTTGGATGGTGGGTCCAGGTGGGCGGGGCTTGGTGACTGCTTTGTTGTGACATCACAAAGTTCCAGAAGTCCTGACGGCTGGTTTTAAGGCTCAGTTTCTGAATACAGGCTGTGTGCATTTCTCTGTGGACTGAGGCTTTGATACTTTCACAGTATTAATATAGAAGCTAGACCTGATCTATAATCACACTACAGCTTTAATGTGGAAACTCTGACGTGTCTCTATGAAACGTTCTCATTTTTTGGGGGTTTTTAAATCGGTCTCATCACAAAAACACTCACAAATTGGTGATTTAATTTCCCCTTTGTGAATAACTACAATTTGATCACAACATCAAACCTAACGTGGAGAAAATAAAAAACTTCATGTACAAACTGCTGGGTCGTCTCATTTAGAAGCTTTATAAGCAAAAATGTTGATTTGTAAAGTAACAAGAGACTAAAACTGTCAGTTAAATGAAGTGAAGAAGAAGAAGGATAAAGTCATATGAAAAGAAAATACTTAAAGTACAAGTATCTAAAATCCATACTTCAGTACAGTTTCACTTCACCACCGTATCAGGCCTCTCTAAATTATTTTCCCTGGAGGCTTTGCTGCACAACGTGGTTAAATGAGGCTTTGAGAAATCAATTCAATATGCAAACAACAGCCAGAGAAGCCCAGTGTTTCCGAAAGCCTCATTGTCTCAGTGAAGACATGTAACAGCATTAACAGCCTTCTCTTCTTCTGTGTGTTCACTCTGAGGCATATAGTGTCATTCCCAGTGTGTGTGTGTGTGTGTGTCTTTAAAGATCGTGCGGACAGATCAGTGTTTCACCTGATCTGTTCAGTCACGTGACTCATGTGTATTTTCATGTAAATAACACTGTGTGGAGAGAGAGAAGGTCCTCACACACATACACACACACACACACACACACACACACACACACACACACACACCCTGCAGCAGCTTTATAACACTTCCTGTATGTGAGCACTAATGACACTAATAAAAGAGCCTTTAAAACGAGACCTTCTCTTTAGCTCCAATAAAAACCTTCAGAGACTCTGTTTTTAATTAGACCCATTCTGATGAAATTGATTCATATTCTAATTAAAGTGGATTTTAATTACAGACACCAAACAATCAGCTTCACACACTGCAATCAATCAGTGTGTGTGTGTGTGTGTCAGGGTCATTGTAATACAATCAGCCACAGAAAGAGCCATTTACCAAACCCCATAACAGCCATCTGTCGCCGCGGGTAACCTTGGATCGATACCACTGCCTAGCAACCAAATATTTAACCTGATATTTATATCAAATGTGATTGACAGGAGGAGAACTCAATTACACACACACACACACACACACACACACACACACACACACACACACACACACACAACACACACACACACACACACACACAGTAGGCAGCATGGACAGCAGAATGTGTTTATTAATATTTGATCAGACTGAAGACTGTTTATTTTAGAAAACAGTGTGTGTGTGTGTGTGTGTGTGTGTGTGTGTATGTGTGTGTGTGTGTGTGTGTGTGCTCAGAGTTGATGGTTAATTCATCAAAGGCAGAAACCAGCCAAAACACACACACACACACACACACACACACAC